CATCACAAGATTTGTGACTTCTCCAATTGCTCCTATAGATAACACCACTATTGTAGAACTTTAGATTGGTGTTTTGAGATATTTTTCAGATTTTTGCATTCTGGCAACTGACTGACCCCACTTGGACCCATGACTCTTGACTCAACCAGTCCTGTGGCCTCCACCCAGAAGTGGACTCAGCTCACAAGAACTGTTTTCCACACCCCTATAATTCCACCCTCAACCAATCAGCAGCACCTATTCCCTATCCCCTTGCCCACCAAATTATCCATAAGACCTTAGCCCCTGAGTTCTCAGGGAGACTGACTGAGTAATAACTCCAGACCTTCCACTTGGCCAGCTTTGTGTTAAACCATTTTCTACTGCAATACCACAGTATCAGTGAGTTGATTTTGTCTATGTAGCAGGAAGGAAGTACCCATCAGGCAATCATAATCTCAGAATACCACCTCCAGAGTAAGGGCATCTGACTCATATATAGCCACCCTATAAAGAGAGAGCAATAGGTGGTCTTTGGAGATCTGGGAGACTACTCACTAAATGCTCCATACATATCAAGCCAGATGACCCATAGGTCTAAGCTGAGAGTAACTTATTTCATAAGGCATAGTTCTGCTTCTCCTCCCAGCACCAGCCATTCAGAAAGATTTTTTTTTTTCTTATCTCTAGTCTGCTAAACCTTGCACATACCTTCCACATTTTTTTTTTGAGATTTTTTTTTCTTATTATACTTTAAGTTCTGGGATATATGTACATAACATGCAAGTTTGTTACATAGGTATATAAGCGCCATGGTGGCTTCCTGCAGTCATCAACCCATCATCTACATTAGGTATTTCTCCTAATGCTATCCCTCCCCTTGCACCCCAACCTCTGACAGGCCCGGGTGTGTGATGTTCCCCTCACTGTGCCCATATGTTTTCGTTGTTCAACTCTCACTTATGAGTGAGAACATGTGGTGTTTGGTTTTCTGTTCCTGTGTTAGTTTGCTGAGAATGATAGTTTCCAGCTTCATCCATGTCCCTGGAAAGGACGTGAACTCATTCTTTTTTATGGCTGCATTAGTATTCCAGGGTGTATATATGCCACAGTTTCTTTATCCAGTCTAGCATTGATGGCATTTGGGTTGGTTCCAAGTTTGCTATTTTTGTTGGTTCCATTTTTTTGTATTGTGAATAGTGCTGCAATAAACATATGTGTGCATGTGTCTTTACAGTAGAATGACTTATGATCATTTGGGTATATACCCACTAATGGGATTGCTGGGTCAAATGGTACTTCTGACTCTAGATCCTTGAGGAATCACCATACTGTTTTCCACAATGGTTGAACTAATTTACACTCCCACCAACAGTGTAAGAGTGTTCCTATTTCTCCACATCCTCTCCGGCATCTTTTGTTTCCTGACATTTTAATGATCGCCATTCTAACTGGTGTGAGATGGTATCTCATTGTGGTTTTGATTTGCATTTGTCAAATGACCAGTGATGATGAGCTATTTATCATATGTCTGTTGGCCACATAAATGTCTTCTTTTGAAAAGTGTCTGTTTATATCTTTTGCCCACTTTTTGATGGGGTTGTTGGCTTTTTTCTTGTAAACTTGTTCCTTGTAGATTCTGGATAATAGCCCTTTGTCAGATGGATAGATTGCAAAAATTTTCTCCCATTCTATAGGTTGCCTGTTCATGCTGATGATAGTTTCTTTTGCTGTGAAGAAGCTCTTCAGCTTAATTAGATCCCATTTGTCAATTTTAGCTTTTGTTGCCATTGCTTTTGGTGTTTTAGTCATGAAGTCTTTGTCCATGCCTATGTCCTGAATGGTATTGCCTAGGTTTTCTTCTAGGGTTTTTATGGTTTTAGGTCTTACATTTAAATCTTTAATCCATCTTGAGTTAATATTTGTATAAGGTGTAAGGAAGGGGTCCAGTTTCAGTTTTCTGCATATGGTTAGCCCGTTTTCCCAACACCATTTATTAAACAGAGAATCCTTTCCCCATTGTTTTTGTCAGGTTTGTCAAAGATCAGATAGTTGTAGATGTGTGGTGCTATTTCTGAGGCATCTGTTCTGTTCCATTGTCTATATATCTTTTTTGGTACCAGTACCATGATGTTTTGGTTTCTGTAGACTTGTAGTATAGTTTGAAGTCAGGTAGCGTGATGCCTCCAGCTTTGTTATTTTTGCTTAGGATTGTCTTGGCTGTACGGGCTCTTTTTTGGTTCCATATGGAATTTAAAGTAGTTTTCTCTAATTCTGTGAAGAAAGTCAGTGGTAGTTTGATGGGAACAGCATTGAATCTATAAATTACCTTGGGCAATATGGCCATTTTCATGATATTGATTCTTCCTATCCATGAGCATGGAATGTTTTTTTCCATTTGTTTGTGTCCTCTCTTATTTCTTTGAGCAGCGGTTTGTAGTTCTCCTTGAAGAGGTCCTTCACATTTCTTGTAAGATGTATTCCTAGGTATTCTATTCTCCTTGTAGCAATTGTGAATGGGAGTTTGCTCATGATTTGACTCTCTGTTTGTCTATTATTGGTGTATTGAAATGCTTGTGATTTTTGCACATTGATTTTGTATCCTGAGACTTTGCTGAAGTTGCTTATCAGTTTAAGAAGTTTTTGGGCTGAGATGATGGGGTTTTCTAAATATACGATCTTGTTATCTCCACATAGAGATAATTTGACTTCCTCTCTTCCTATTTGAATACTTTTATTTCTTTCTCTTCCCTGATTGTCCTGGCCAGAACTTCTAATACTATGTTGAATAGGACTGGTGAGAGAGGGCATCCTTGTCTTGTGCCGGTTTTCAAAGGGAATGCTTCCAGCTTTTGCCCATTCAGTATGATGGCTGATAAGTTCTACATTTTTACCAGTGCACTCACATTTGCTAATGTTAACTCCCTCCCACTCTTAGCTACAACACCCCCCACATGACAATGCTACTAGAAGACAAGTGTCTACTACTACAAGAATATATATCTATAGCTCTAAATATAGGAGCACTCTCATTTTAAACAAATCTATCATAGTTAAATCTGCATTTACAAGGACATATGTTTATATCTATGGACTTGTATATGTGTGTGTGCATATATATATATATATATATGGAATAGATTATCTGCTTTGCAAATGAATTCACCAGGGAATTTCTTAAAATAGCAGGCCCTTCATTTATCCTTCTCTTCACTGTTTCCCACATAAATGATGTCTTGCACTTTTTACTTACTGATAGCTGCTCAAGAATTTATCTATAATGTAATGTAGGTATATTGTATTTATAAAGATTAATGGAAAGCAAAATGCATTTCTTTGGAGCCGTCTCACTAATTTCTTTAATATTTCAGAGGTGTGAGTTTATATTTTGTATAGCTAGGATCTGAAACCTTATCTAGCACCACTATGAACATAAAAACCACATGAATCTTAAATACGTTCCAGAGTTCACCATGATATAACAGCATTATGCAGAAATTAGAGTCTGCAAGAGCCACTGGCTTCACAAAAGCCTTTATGGATGGAGAAAAGTGAACTAATGATGTTGTTTTGTGAAGGTTTCTAAGGCAAAAATTATACCTTTCACTCAGGTCAATAGCTTTTGGCTGGGGGTAGCTTAAAAGTGAAGTAATTCTGCCTCTGTACACAACCAATGTTAATAGACAAAAACATTAACCACATTTCTGGGAGTGGTGAAGCTATTTTTAGTAACAGTGGCTGCTCTAGAAAATTTTATCTTTTGCTGTGAAATGCCAATGTGATTTTTCTCAGTCTGTAAATGGTAAGCACAATCATGTTTGTTTAAACTTAAGTTTTGTATATTGTTTGTTTTTCTTTACCCCAGGGATTTCCTTATCTGTATGCACACACAGATGATAACAGGAACAGAGTGACCTACCCTAGTTTAGAGTAGGCTGCCAATTACCTCTCTAAAGCTAACAGCACCCATAAGCCAACAAGGATTTTATTTCATGCAATTGTTAAAGTAATTACTTTTGCACCAACCTAATAGTATTTCTTCAAAGGCTCATGCAAGCTAAGAAACTAATAAAAACAAAATGAAAACAGTAGCTCTACTCTTTAAGTCATCTTCTCCAAAAAAAAATATTGTTCCTCTACTTCCAGAAATATAATTGTTCAGGGCTCAGAAACTCAGAAGAATCCTGACTTCCTGCCTGCCTCCTGGGTCCCTAGAAACATAGACTTAATGGGAAGGAGGGACCTGGCTCATGGCAACTAAATAAGATTGGTGGGGGTGGGCAGAGGAAAGAGCATAGGACGAAGAATCAGGAAGCTTGAGATAAGATCTAGACAAACCTTCAATCCTTCTGGGACTCTGATTCTTCACTTATAAAATACAGATGATACCCACATTTTTATTGTGATCATATGAGATGGTAGATTTGAAAATGTTTAGGAAACTATTAGGTTCTTCATGATGAATGCAATGCTCTGCTTATTTCTGTGCATCTCAATTCCTATGATGTTGTAGAATATTGAGACTGAAAGTTAAAAAAAAGAGAGAAAAGACTGGGCAATAAGGCTGGTTTAAACAAAGCCTTATTTGCCTCTAACTCTCCTTCTCTCTTTCACTCTACCTTCTAGAAAAAAGCAAAAGTAACAATTGACCTGAACTCTCCATTTTAATAATCACTGCATTTCTACATTTTTCAGTTACAGTCAATGTCTAAATTAGATAAACTAATTGATTACCTACTGACCAAAAGGATCTGTATGAAATCATTACCAAAATCATATAATGAAGAAATTTTCTGTTTCTAGAGAAGTTTGAAGTTAGAATCAGCACTTTTTCATTTAGCATTCATTCAACAAATATTTATTGAGTGCAAACTTGTGCCAGGCACTAGGGATTTAGAAATAAGGGAAACATATTTCCTTTCCCCATAAAGTTCATTATTCAGAGACAGGAACAGATTTACATTCTCTTGTTTTATAGCTTAGAAACCAAAGACACAATAGTTGGGAAAGTTTGACTCTACCTGCAACTCTCCTTCCATTATACTGAGTAGTTGGATGAGGTCTTCTTTGGATAACTCCAGGGATTTCTTAGTCTTTCGTTCACTTTCTCCAGATGTTTTTAGGTGTCGTTTGATAGTTCCTGAGGCCATGACATCATCCTCCTTCCTATTTGATTTCTTCTTCTTTTTGGCATCTTCTGAGAGACTTTTTTCACCAGCATTGCCGATGATGGAGGGCTTGGGACAGGAGACATGCCCATCAGATGAACTTTCACCACCTTGGTTTCGAGATCTCATTCCCACCTACAACACATAAAAAAAAGATAAGATGCTCTTTACCACCATCAAAATTATTTTTGCCGAAATACTTAGAGACTTATAGCAGCTTTACCACATCACCAACAATAAAAAATCAAATTAATATGTCATTAAAATTTTCAGGAAACCCCTTTGATGGTCTTCAGAAAAAATAAAAGTGAGATTTTAACCTGAAAAACCCCTCAAGCCAAATGATCAAGGTCAATATCAATAGTGCTAAGTCATATTGCTGTTACATAATCCCCATAATAATATATCAATATTGGTTCATTAATTGTAACGAATGTACTATACTATCCTAATGGAGAATGTTAACTATAGAGGAAACTGGGTGTAGGGCATATGCGTATTAGCTTTGTAATAATGTTATGAATCTAAAACTGTTCTAAAATAAAATAAAAATAAATAAAAACAGTTCTAAGATAAAATAAAAAGTTTATTTATTTATCAGAAAATTCAGACCTGAAACTCTGTCAGGAACCAGTTGGATGTCACAGGGGAAAAAAAAAAAGTCCGCATAGAGTAGGGGCTTAGAATGGACAGAGGATAAGGGAAAAGCAAAGAGAAGAGGAGGGTGGTGTCATTTTCAGTGATATGCAATTCTATTTTCCCATAGCCTCTATTTAAAAATCAGGTCTTTTAATGTCATTTACAGTAATAAGCGCACAAAGAATTGGGAGAAAATGAATCAATTTCAAAATCAAAATGTAAAACAATATTTTGAGGTAAAATAAGGAAAAAAGACAAAGCAGCAGCTAAGATATTAACTTGTCCTATGAGAAGCACATTCAAGTCATTCTATGAGGAATACTTTATAGTTTCTCTGTCAGTCTCTGAGCAAAAAGATTCTACCAACAGGTTTGTTACAAACAAACACACTGAACTCACAGGCTAGGTCTCATAGTGCTGTGAAGAGAGCTCTAATATCCTGGGGGGTGTATTTCAAATTTTGCCTAAACCCTTAAATATAGTAGATTAGCACATGAGCTTATTTAAAAACTCACAGTATAAATAGCCCTTACCATGAATAGCTAAGCAAAAAGATTTTCATCATTCATTCCAGATAAAATACAAGGACTTAGTTATCTGAAAGTAAATTTCCTTTATGGACCCAACCATACTTAAGAAACTAAGGAAAGATTTTAAAAAAACGTTAGGTTTGTAACACAAAAATTAACACAGGGTGATGTTTCCTTTCAGATAGTGAATATTCAATTCTTCCAATGAATCTTGAAATCTACATTAATGCTCTTTTTTAAAAAATTGAACTTGTAAGCAAATGGACCCCTTTATGTATGTGTGAACTTTCTACAGCACCCCAGCTTTTAACAATATAAACCAAAGGAATGTTTCTTGACACTAGCACCCTGTTTTCTGGTTCACTCAATGATTAGTTCCCTATTTTAGAGTATCTTTTGGGTTTCCCTAGTCAACAAAGAATAGAAGTTTCTTTGTAATGGAAGCCAAAGCACTTTGGAACAAACCTACTGTATTTTATCACAGCTTATTTGTGGGCAGAATGGGCTGACTAAAGCCCCAATCCAAAAAAAAAAAAAAAAAAAGATGTGATGAATAAAGAGTTTCAAATTTAACTCATGACCTGTTACCGCTCACAACTAAGACACATGGACTTCCCAAACTGAATTGTGATTCTGTACGACTTCATACCACATGTGAATTCCTTTTACCTGAAATAATTTTCTCTATAAGATCTTAAAGCTCTTTGAGATGGCATATCAAATATTGATTTGACAACTTTAATTTAAATCATTAAATCATGAGTTGATAGAAATCCCAGACAATAGTTCCCAAAGCACAGGAAGTGCTTAATCTTACACAGTATTTAAATCTGATTGTATTATGTTACATGTATTTACTCAATCACAATTATATCTGCAAACATACAGAAAATAGTCTATTAGTATCAATTTTATATTTAGTTTTTTCTAAAAATTTCAGTCTGAAATTAATGTTTTAAAATAAAGTTTATTATAGTATCATATTAATGACTTTTACACAAAAAAATCCACCCATTTTAGAATTATGTAATTATTTTATATCATTATTCATTTAAAAAGTTTAAGTTTCCTATTCCCTTCCACATTAATTCACTTTGGCTGATGGAAAATCTCATGTGGTAGACCCATGATGTTAATTTTGTCTTAACAAATATTTTTCTTTTGTGATATTGAAATTTCACATTAATTACTTTTCCTTTGGCATGAACATAAAGATTTTTAGTCCTTTTTTCGGTTAGATAAATGAGGTCTTCTATCTATCTTCACAATAAAGTCAGCAATCAGCACCTGTACTATGTCAGGAATACAAAAGTACTCAGCAATAACAAATGAATCAAGAATGTTTTAGCAAGGAATTAGCATCTATGCGAAGATACACATAATTTCTCAGTAGAATAACTAAGTCTGTTATAAATAATGTACACTTTAAAAATGCTTTATTCTATTTTGGAGGGAGAAAACATCCAAGCAATAATGGACTTGCATGTGTCTCATTTAGTGACATTTATATTCTTCATATTTTTAATAGCTCTCACTTACTGCTTCTTAAGTGTTACATAGTATAGGAAGCATTTTTCATTCAGCACCTTGTTTAATATTTACATCAACCCTGTGAAGTAGGTGCTATTTCTCTCAGGTTTATAGATGAAGCTACTGAGGTTTAAATAAATTAAATATCTTCTCCTGGATCACAGTTACTCCTAGTGGATAGAAAAACTAGAATTTGAACTCAAGTTGGACACGAAATACTACCCCACTATACAGCTTTCCTTACAGCTTTCCTCTAAGTTCTTAAACATATGCTAATTGGAAAAAGGGGCGAACCCTGATAAATCAGGGGATCAAGAAAAAGTTAGAGGCCAGGCGCAGTGGCGTGTGTGCAATCCCAGAACTTTGGGAAGCCGAAGCGGGTGGATTACCTGAGGTCAGGGGATCGAGACCAGCCTGGCCAACATAGCAAAACCCCATCTCTACTAAAAATACAAAAATCAGCTGGGCATGGTGGAGTGCACCTGTAATCTCAGCTACTAGGGAGACTGAGGCAGGAGAATCACTTGAACCTGGCAGGCAGAAGTTGTAGTGAGCAGAGATCGCGCCACTGCACTCCAGCCTAAGCGACAGAGCAAGACTCCATCTCAAAAAAAGAGAAAAAGCTACAAATGCTAAGAAGTTTTCTCACTTCACGTAACAAAATTTGAGAAATCCACGTATATGTCTTTCTCCAAAGACACTCTTGCAACACTCGCATAGCAATTTAAATTAGGTTACTAAGCAATACTATGTTTTCTGAAATAATTAACCTTCTGCAGAACTTCTAAGATGATGAATCATTCAAAAGTCTTCCTGAGAAGTAATCTGGTCAATTACTAAGGGTACAGTTATGAAAACAGGATGTAAAGTCTGAACAGGAACAATTACAGACTTATTGTGTTAAAAGCCCTGGAGCTGAACAACAGTAAACACATCATCAGTGTTGGCCAAATCCTGCCTATTGTGCTTACAAGGGTAGCAGGCAGGTAACAGAAAAGGCATCCAGAACTCCTTAGGCTTCTTAATAGTTGATTGCATGGCTGCAAGTTTAAGACGTGTAGATAACATTTTCTGAAAGAAGCCAAGAAGGCCTTCGAATCATCCCAGTGTATATCCTTTAAAAAAAGTTCTCCCCAAGAAAAATATATAAATAAACTGAAGATTCATATCAGGTTTTATAACCCTTTTAAAAAAAATCAGTGTCAACTGGGGCACAGATGCTTCTCTTTGATAAGCAAATTATCTTAACATAGTTCATAAAATATACTTACTTTTCCTTTCATAGTAGTCAACAATAATTTACATGGAATTTGCTAACTACAGTATGAAGAAAAGAAAGATCAAATGTTATTCTGAACCTCCCTCTTTTATCCACAGTCCTCTCTCCCTTTCATCTGCGCCTCCCTGCCCCCTGCAGCCTCCCATTAATTGGGCAATGCCAGAGCATACTGTCAGATGAAAAATATCACAGGAATCAGAAAATGTAAAGCTTTTTAGTCATTTATGCTGAACTACCAAGTATTTCTAGAGCATTTGAACAGGAAAAGAAAAAAAAGGAAAAGAAAAAATGTCTACGGAAATTCTAGTTCCCAGAGTTCCTTAGCTCTTACAAATCCTGACCTTGAATTTTCTCCCTAGCACTCTCACCTTTGCTCTTGCTCCTTTCCAGATTTATATTTTCCTGTTATGATTCAACATTGGTCAAAATACTCCCCACCCCACCACCAACAAAAACTTCTTTTCTGTAGAAATTCGGTTTTGGCATCTTTGCTATGCTTCTCAGGTATCCAACCCCTATCTGTTCCCGGTTGTATTTTATCTAAATATATTTTCAAGAACCTACCTAGTGCATAGAATGAGATGCCATAATAATTTTATATATTTAATTTCTATTTTAAAATTACTTCATAGAATTATGAGGAAAAATTATCATAGTAAAAAAGGAAAGTACATAATTACAGAAAAGCCGAGATTTTACAAGGTGGCCTGGCAAAAGGCCTGCTGCAAGTGGAGCTTCCAGAACATTACCACAGAACTGTCCTGACTCTTTCTCTTTCACATAAACGACAATACCCAAAGCACCCAAAACTCAAAAAGAAAACATCTGTTCTAGTTTTATGTCATCAGTGAATTTTCAGATGCAAAAGATCAATTAAATCAACTAGTTTATTCCCTATCAATGCCAGATTACTTCCCGTGTGTTATCTTATTGGTTAAATCTGCATATAAATATCCCAACTCATGAAATGTTCAAATATTTCTCATGAGGTTATCACATATTCTGTAGTGTATATTGCTCAGAAATGTTCCCAAGTTTGCCTCTAAATTTTCCTTTCTTCTCTTCATCCTATTTATGCAACAAGCCATGTTAAATATTTGTTTTACTTCTCATTACCTACATTTATTAAATCCTAAAAAATAACTAAGGTTTTTACT